ACCAAATGGTTTCATTCTTTGATTTTGTTCAACTTTTTCCCCTTTTACTCTCAAAATTTTGAAAGGATTAGGCTTTGTTCCGTTAATGTTGTACGAATTCGTCATTGTTACAGCTTCAAGGATAAATTTTACAATTTATATGTATAAGAGGTTTGTTCCTTTATAAAGGTCAAAACTTTCTTTACTTCATCATTCTCTTTTGTGTTGTTTGTTCTTCGAATCCTTTGCCCATCTTCCATTTGATTTATAAACAGAGAAGAATCACGACAAGACACTAACGGAGGAAGCCATTACCGGTAAAGTAGAAGGTTCGAAAAGATTGGAAATTTACATGGATATTCGTTGGTATAAGTAAGCTTATTATGTTCTTGAAATCATCTCTATTAATGCATGCATTTTGTGAAACACTTGATGATGACAAAGTTTTTGCCTTTTTGAATTTTCTTCAGCAATGGAAAAGAATCACAAGAAAGGACACAATAGAAAGGGTTTTCATCTAAAGAAGCATAGAAAAGCGGATGATAGTAGGAGTTTTGATCCAAGATCAAAGAACGTCACCGAAGGCAATGATGAGAAGCCTGTTTTGTTCCAGTTGGGGAGCATTGCTTATGGACTCGGTGACGTCCGTGTCAAGGCAGATCCAGAGATCACCACCAGCAATACTGCATCTCCTCCTTCGTCGTCTAACTTATCTCCAACCTCTTCAGAGAACACTGTCGAAGTCAATGCAAAGGAAAACAAGAAGGAGCTCTTAAGCCTTTCTTTAAAACTATCCGAGTTACAAGGCTCATCGGACACAATGGGGTCACAAGTCTCCGGTGTGACTAATGATTCTTTGGAGCCTGCGCTTTTGTCTCCTTCTGTTCAAATGATGGACAGAAAAGGAGGATCTGAGCAGCCTGAGAGACACTCGTTGCCTACCTTGGAGAAAACTCTAAGCACGCTTTCGAATGAGTCTCTGTTTAGTCTCAGCATAGGAGATAACGTGATAGCGAGAGATGAGCTGTTTAGTTACCGTGATTTCAAGTCTGGAGAGTTTTTGAAATCGGGAGAGCTGGTCTCGTTCTGTCCTTCTGTTCATATTCCTGTTGATTCTTCTGATCTTGGAAAGAGCTTTGATATGGAGGAGGACAAAGCGAGTGATGATAAGTCGTCGAACTCGAATGTATCATGGAGGAACCTTGGAGATTGTAATAACTCAGATGAAGGATCATCCAGCACGCAGTCATTTTCATATCCAGTGTGAGTTTTGTTACTTTTATACATCGTCTCATTGATTCCGAGAAAACACGAACTTGATTGTTTGTTGTTTTGGTGCAGAGCAAAAAAGAACAAGAAGAAGAAGGGGAAGAATAAGAAGAAGACTACGCAGCAGCAGCAGCAACAGCAGAAGCAGAAGAAGAGATGTTCTTGGTTGTGTTGCAAGAACACTGGACCTTCTTGCTTCTCCTGCTGCAAATGGCCGAGTTGTGACTACGACTTCTCTTGCTGCAAACGGATAAAATGTTGCTCGTGCTGCTGGAGATGGCCTAAATGCTGCTGTTCTTCTTGTGGCTGGCTCTTCTGTTGCCATTGGAGCTGTTGGAGCTGCTGTTCTAGGTACATTTCTATTTAGAGATTCCTTTTTCTTTAATCAGTGATTGATTCAGTTGAAAAGCTTAGTTACAGAGTTTTCTTTGTGGTTTATAGTAGATGATGAGATGGCTAGAGGAAGTGAAGAGCAAAGACTGCAAAAAAAAAAAAAACAGAGTCTAAAATGGTTGTGGTTATGTTTGCTTTCCTTCTTGTTCTTCTTCCACTTCTTAACGTTAGATTAGATTCTTACTCAAACTCTCTGTGTTTTTCTTTAGCTTAAGGGGTTAATAAAAAAGATTTTACAATTATATGTTTCTTGCTTATTGAGAAAAGTTACCAAACAAGAAGAAAGAAGAACAACAATATTTTTTCTGTTATCATCAAGGCAGATGAAATCGGATAATAATATTACTCAACATAACATTGAATAAGATTAGGTATAAGGTCACATACTCACACAATCTTGTGGCAGATATCTAACAAAATCAATATTTAATCCATTTGATGTTGACGTTATCTTTCATTGGACGTCGACACTTTCGAATTTCGATAAAAGTGTTTTAACTTCTCAAGTAAAAACATTTTAGCTATAAGTAATCATCTTGGTTTGTCAAAAGGAAAAAGAAAAGGAATTGACTTGATTTTGTTGGCTAATGTATAAACAAACTAAATGGAAGGGAGTTTATTATGGCTTGGGAACAGAGAGTCTAGCGGCTGGTAGTGAAGGTTGATTTATAGATAGTTGTTGGTTTTTTTTAGTCAGGAATTAGTGGTTTTCATCCCCTGTTTTTCCTAGTACGATTGTACTATGGCTTCTTTACAAGGGATTGGTTCGTCCGAGTTGTTCATATCTACACAGAAAGGCAAATTGTGTAGCCGATGGTCTTGCAAATCTTGCTTTCTCGCTGCTGTTAGGTTTTCATTCTTTCATATTTAGGAGTGGAGGAAATAACCAATTCTCTTAAACTAAAGGTTAATTACATAGTTTTCTTAAGCTAAATGAGCTATGTATCATAGATACAATTTTTTCACATTCAATTGGTTGTTTCGTAAATCTTTCATTATTTTTGTTTGGTTCCAATGTTTATGTTAATATATGGTTCAATCCATCCATAACATTAAACGGATTAAATCAAGTCTATACACGGTTTGAGTTTTCGATCGATATGTGTCACTAGCATAATATGCACTATTTATTGTAAAAAATTATGCATTAAACGCATTAATCAAGTCTAAATACGGTTCAAATTATTTATTGAGACGTGTCACGAGTATAATATGCGTTACAGTAGCCAACTATATTAAAACGTGTCACGAGCATAATATGCGTTACAATAGCCAACTATCCGTTGTGAGGGATATGCGTTACAGTAGCCAACGATTCATTCTCTATATAAGACCAGCGAGCTAATAGATCCGCACAACTATTGCTCTTTCTCTTGGTAAAAGGTAAAGAGAAATCATACTTGGTTAGTTTCTCTCCTTTACTCAATTTCAATTTTGATAATAATTTTGGTGGTTAAAGAGAGCGACGAAATCAATTATTTACAGTCGGCTTCAAATTTATACTCATGAATATGAGGTTCCAGGTAAACTCCGTCACCCAAATATATCTCCTTTTTGTTTCAAATATCATATTTTGTCATAGTCGTAGTAATTTTTCCATATTTATGAGACATACATGATTGATATATCAAAAAAGTTATATTAGATCATAATCTTAACTATGTAAAACAAAAATTGCATCTATTTTTAACAATTGTGAATCTGTGATTATAATTCATAGATGGTGATGTCTTGTTTTTTTTTGAACTTTGAAACTCAGAGAACAATTAGATATAAAAAATACTAGGGAATAAGGGATCTATTCGTTTCTATTTGGATCATGATTAGATTTCGAAATCAGTTACATTTCTTTCTTTTTTCAATTTTAACTTAATTAACGATAATGTCATAATTTTTAGTTTACGCTTATATGTGTTGTTTGAGTTTTAAAAATAAAAATGAAATAAGACATAAGCCGTTAGTTAAACAGATTTTGCTCTATTCAGCAAAATTATTTTACACTAGAAAGATACTTCTTGACAGTTGTGAATCTGTGAGTATAATTCGTAGATGGCAAACAGCTTGTGTTTTTTTTTTTAAAAGAAATCTCAAACAAAGAATATAACCAAAGTAAACAAATCTCTTGTTGGGGGGTTACTTCTGACGCAATATACGACGTCATGATGACGCAGATACATTGAGGAATAAAACGTCTACATAAAAACCGTGACATTATCGTTAATCACAAAAAAAAAATTGAAAAAAAAAAAATGTAACTGATTTCGGAATCTAATCATGAACCAATAGAAATGAATAGGTCCCACACGTAGCTCCTCTGGTCAAACAAGATGCAGCCATGTGGAGACCTCTCTCTATATAAATACACCAGACATTGACTTCACCTGGGTCCCACCCTCTTATAAAAAGTCTGTAATGACAACGACAAAAAAATTTAAACGACAGAAGCGAGAAAGACGCGGCTGAAAGTGAAACACTTATCTCGCACAAAAAGCTGATAAAATTTTACGTTTTTTTCATTTATTACGGAAGTGTCTTTTTTTATTGGATAAAATATTATAATTTATAAGTAACGTCACACACTTACACACACATGAATACAGACAAACTTTAGCTCTTATATTAAGTAGAAAATCTGATAAAGTTTTACTTTATTTTTCATTTATTACAAAGCCTTTTTTCTATTCGATAAAATATTATTTAAGTAAGCGTTACTTATGAATACAGACAAACTTTAGCTCTTACAGTAAGCAGTGTTGTCTTTTTTTAATTTATTTTCCTTAAAAAACGAATTAAAATAGTTTAATACACACAGGAGTGAAACACTTATCTCGCACAAAAAGCTGATAAAAATTTACGTTTTTCATTTATTACGGAAGTCTCTTTTTTTTTTATTGGATATAATATTACATAAGTAAGCGTTACTTGTGAATAAAGACAAACTTTAGCTCTTACAGACTTACAGTAAGTGTTGTCTTTTTTGAATTTATTTTTCCTCAAAAAACGAATTAAAGTAGTTTAACGGAGAAAGCAAAAAAAGAGTAATAAAAGCTGATAGATTTTTCTCATCTTTTTCCTCGAAATTCATTCTCCTTTGACTGTTTCCAATACGTTACGAACTTTTTATTTGTATTGATTATTGAGCCCAAAGAAACTTTTCTTGTTTTCTTTAATGTCGTTTTCTTTTCGAGTAAAGAAACTTTCTTCTTTTGCAACTTGATTTTCCTCGAGGGCGAGAGAGAGAGGGAGAAGAGAGAGGGGAAGATCAAAAACTTTTTACTCCCTACAAAAAGGCTCTAAATTTCATCGAATTTTTGAAATTAGGGTTTTGTGATTCTCTCTCACTCTGTTTTGTGGAGAAGATGAAAAAAGTCATACTTGCCCTGTTCTTGGTGCTTAATCTGTTTGCGTTTTCGTTTTCTCGGAAACTTTTTTCCGAGAGTGGTGGCTCCCACGACGACGAAGCTGCTCTTCTGGAGTTGAAGAGTAGCTTCTCCGATCCAAATGGTGTCTTGTCCAGCTGGAATCCAGACAGCTCCAACCACTGTTCTTGGTTCGGTGTCTCTTGCAACTCCGATTCCAGAGTCGTCTCTTTGATCCTCAGAGGCTGCGATGAAGCTAGCCGTCTTCATTTCTCTGCTTCATCTCCCTGTTCGAGTAAACTCGGCGGTGAAATCTCTCCGGCGGTTGGAGATCTCTCCGAAATTAGGGTTTTGTCTCTTCCCTTCAACGATCTCGTAGGTCAAATCCCGAAAAAGATTCGTAATTTGGAGAAATTAGAAGTCCTCGATCTTCAAGGTAACAGCTTTACCGGAGAATTTAACCGAATTAGGGTTTCGAATCGAGGATCCGACGAAAAACCGAACCTTTCGATTCGGAGACTCTTGGCTAAATTTAGAAAGTCGTTAAAGGTTGATCCTTTCTCAAGCAATGCTGCTAGGAAGCTCATGAGTTTCAACGAAGAAGACGAAGAAGAAGAAGCGAGTCCAAGCGCAGACCATTCTTCTCCCTCCGGTAAAACCAAATTATACCCGATTGAGATCGCTTCCATCATCTCAGCTTCAATCATCGTCTTCGTCCTCCTCGTCCTCGTCTTCTTCTTCGTCTACAGCCGGAAATGGAAACGAAACTCGCAGATTCAAGTCGCTGAGACTAAAGAGCTCAAAGTGTTCGTAGACAGTAGCGATAGCAATAGCATTCCTCTGACTTACGAGATCATCGTTAGAGCCACTAACTACTTCAGCAACTCCAACTGCATCGGCCACGGAGGTTTCGGTTCGACGTACAAAGCAGAAGTCACTCCGAACCATGTCTACGCCGTGAAGAGACTCTCCGTTGGTAGGTTCCAAGGCGACCAACAGTTCCACGCTGAGATCTCAGCTCTCGAAACCGTCAAGCATCCGAATCTAGTCGTCTTGATCGGTTACCACGCGAGCGAGACGGAGATGTTCCTCATCTACAACTACTTATCCGGGGGAAACCTAGAAGACTTCATCAAAGAACGGTCCAAACCAGCTCTAGAGTGGAAGGTCTTGCACAAGATCGCGCTCGACGTGGCGCGTGCTCTCGCTTATCTCCACGAGCAGTGTTCTCCTAAAGTCTTGCATCGAGACATCAAGCCGAGCAACATACTTTTAGACAGCAAGTACAACGCGTATCTGTCGGATTTCGGACTCTCTAAGCTCTTGGGGACGTCGCAGTCTCATGTCACGACAGGTGTGGCGGGGACGTTTGGTTATGTGGCTCCTGAATACGCAATGACTTGCCGTGTCTCGGAGAAAGCTGATGTTTATAGCTATGGGATTGTTGTCTTGGAGCTTATATCGGATAAGAGGGCTTTGGATCCGTCTTTCTCGTCGCATGAGAATGGGTTTAACATTGTGTCTTGGGCTCATATGATGTTGAGTCAAGGCAAAGCTAAAGATGTTTTCACCAATGGGTTGTGGGAGAGTGGTCCTCAAGATGATCTTATTGAGGTTCTGCATTTGGCTCTCAAGTGCACTGTGGATAGCCTCTCGATTAGGCCGACGATGAAGCAGGCTGTGAAGCTGCTGAAACGAATCCAGCCTTCTAGATTGTGATCTAGAAGAAGGAAGTAGAGGGTTTGTTGTGTAGCTAGCAAACAAGTGTGTAGCTATTTAGAAAGCTTTTAGCTCTTTTCTTTTCTTTTGTTCAAGTCTGTTTTTTTCTTAAGTTCATTAGAGTATTGAGGTTTTTCATTTGCATCATTAATGTTATGTAGTCTCATCTTTCTCTCTTTAAAATTTGATAAAAATGATGTTTTTCTCCAAAATTCTCTTGTATAAAGTAGTCAAACATACAAATGTAACTCAGACTAATCTAAAACTATATGTGTCTGAATCTAAAACTCTTAAAACATCTTCTTCTCTAAACTGTGGTATTTTTAAATGAAGGGATCAAATGAAGAGTTTGGTTAGGATATTTTTTGTTTGTCATTTTAAGACAGGGTTTAGAGAAGAAGATTTTTAAGAGTTTTTAGATTCAGACAGCTTATGCTTTTGTTTCGTTTGGATTTTTAAATGTAGGGATCAAATGAAGAGTTTGGATGGCAACAAAAAATCATAACAAAACTCTTCATTTGATCCCTTAATTTCACTAGAGTAAGAGGTTTTTAATTTGCATTATTACTTTTATATTCTCAGCTTTCTCTCTTAAAAACTTGATGAAAATGATGATTTTTCTCCATAAGTCTCTGTATAAATAGTAAATAGTAAAAATACAAATATGACTTAAATAGTTGTGAAACTACCAGATTCAGACAAAAGGATATGTTGTCTGATCTAAACTCTTAAACATCTTCTTCTCTTAAACTCAAGAGTTTGGTTAGGAACTTTTTTTTTTGTCATTATAAAGCTTTAAGCTTTTTTCTTTTTTAGTTCAGCTCTGTTTTTTCTTAATTTCAGTAGAATATGAGGTTTTTCATTTGCATCATCAATGTTATTCTCATCTCTCTCTCTTCAAAACTTAAAAACGATGTTTTTCTCCTTAATTCTCTGTATAAATGGTAAAAATACAAATACGACTTAAATATTAGGGAAACTACCAGATTCAGACAAAAGCATATGCTGTCTGAATCTTAAAACTCTTAAAAACAACTTCTCTAAACTCTGGTTTAGTTAGGGGGATCGATCTTATACGAAGAGATTAGAAGGAGAAGAAGTGTTGACAACAATGTGCCTAAGAGGATGATCCACATGAGGACCACCAGCATGTCTAACGAAATCAGCAGGAGACAGGAAATCGCCATGGCACACACACATGATCCTCACTTCTTCTCCATTGCCGTATCTGTACAGAATCCCATCGACTCTTTTACCATTTGGTCCATCTCCTTTGGTGAAGACACATGGCATCTCGTTTTTGCCTTTCCCTTGTGGTGGCTCTAGGTTCATGTTCACTGAGCTCAACCTTCTCAGTCGATTATTATTAATCGACTTGGTTGCTTCTAGCTGTTGTTGTTGTGCTGTTGAAGGTAAGCTTCTTGCTTCTTCGCTTGACCCTGGTAATAATAAATAAATAAATAAAATATATATATATATATATATATATATATACAAATGTTACTTTAGTAAGTAACATTGGTTAAGCTAAATCATGTAAAAAAAAAATACAATGTTACTTTAGTAAATAACATAGGTAAGTGTAAAAATATTCATAACAAAGCAAATGACCTTTCAAGTTCCTAAACGTTGCAATATTTTGCAATAAAGAAGACTGAATTTGTATGATTATTTCAGATTTAATGCATTCATTTGCTTGTGTGTAAATTGTAATGATGATCAGAATAGTATACCTTGGTGAAATCTAGTTTCTAACTCCGAGACGCTTGAAGAACTTCCGGCGCCGCCGCCGCCGGCGGCTTGAGACTCGACGGAGCCTTGAATTGAGTCATAACCAGCACTGTGTTGCCGTAAGAGTCCGGTATTGTTAGCCGTCGCCGACCACCGTGGAACCCTGGACGCTGGTCTACCTCGCCGTCTTGAAGCGGTGGCGGTTTCTCCCGGATTATTAGCTTCGGTTGATTTGGCGGTGGTGTTTCCGCCGCCGCCGCTACGAAGCTTCTCGCTTCTCCTTCTCTTCGCAGCCATTCTCCTCAGAGTCTGCATCTCTTTCCTCTTCCTCCACTCTTCCTCCGACTCCGCCGGCAACGACGTCGTTCTCGTTAAACCCGTCGTCGCCGCCGCGGGCGCCGTCTCCGTCGCTAAAGGCTTCCTATCCGGTCGATGATTATCCCGGAAAAGAGGCATGGTCACGACGACGGAGGAAGATCTCACGAGCTTGTTGCTTTTGTCAACACCGAATCTCCCGCCAAGAGACAAGCCTAGACTCAGCTCGATCTCTTCCTCTTCTTCTTCATCGTCATCTTCCGGTGAGTTGGAGATAAACCTCTGAAGCAGATCTCTAGGAAACACACAACTGCTGCTTCTCGCCATTTCTACACTTCTTCTCTCGTTTGCTTCCGCCATGAAAGCTGATGAAACAGTAATCGAATGGAAAAAAAAGAAAAGGAAAAAAAGATTAGATTTTGATCCCACCCATTTATCTCAAAAAACTTTTTCTTTAATTCCTTTCCCTAAAACATGTTTTTGATTAGCTTTCTCATAAATGGGGAGACAAAGAAAAAAGTTTTTGACGGATGAGACAGAGAAGAGAACTGAAATTTTCAGTAGAAGAGAAGACAGAATATTCAGTTCCATTTCACTTCACAACACCTATTTAGCTCCGTCATTAGCAAAGTACCATAAAATTTCCCCATTATTTTTTCTATTTACTGATAGATTTGTTACCATAAAAAATAGATTTGTTTACCATAAAAAATAGATATGTAATCAATTCAAGTCTATCAGAAATAAATTTAAACCAATCATCTAGCATTTGCATATTTTTTTATTACCATAAAACGTTATTTCTTTATGCTCATTGTTAAGGAAATTTTATTTAGAAAAAAGTATAGAAAGAATATATAAATTGTTGGGCACGTAGAAGAATAAGAAAGCGACGAGAATAGCCAATGTGTGAAAAGTACAGAAGAGCAGAGAGAGAAAAAAGAGAGCCAAGTGGCAATCAGATGATCCCTAGAGTCGACACGTTCTTGTACGGTTTCATTGTTTTAGAAATAAAGTTTTTTTATTTGCCATTTTTGTCCCCTCACTTTTTGCCTATTATTGCTTCTACTACCCTTCAATATAAATTTTTTTAATTACGTTTTTGTAGAATATATTAATCGCTGGCTACTTACGTGTCCTTATCAGCGATAAAGATGGGGATGCAGACACGTGTCGACGTAAAGAGAACTGAACACGTGTATCTCCGTTTCTTTTCAGTCAGAGTCAGAGAAACGGCTAAGGTTCTCTCGTATAGGCCCTACAACATTCCAATGTACGTATACAATACAAATATACAGTAATACCAAAACTCTATGAACTACAATTGTAAATAAGTACAAGAATTAGTGAGTGTGATTCATTGAAATATAAATAGAATTTTAGGTGAAAAGTTTATGGTAAACCAATCATGAATAATTAAACCACTGCAGAACAGGGAATCAAAACGTTTAAACAATTGTTATAAAATAAGTAAGCTTTTTAAAAGTTCCACTAAAATAATTGTTAGACTTGGTGTTTCAGATAGATCTTTTATTTAAGGCCATTTTTTATCAAACAAAATTTATTGTTACCGATATTTGCTGATATAAAACTAAGAAAATTGTACTTTTTAACTGGTGAACAAAATCTCAAAAATAAATTGACATTATAAACGTGAAGCCCGCCTTCACTTATTTATGGTTTTGGATCTTGGTGGTCTATAGACTATAGTAATCATGACTCATGAGGCAGGTAGGCAGGTAATTTGAATCCCTATTGTACAATTTTAATTTACAAATAACAAATCAACGAACCATAACTATTGTTGTTTGGGACTTACAGTTAGTGAACAATACATCAGCATATATCTGATAATATTTCGTTACATTAATATATGTGTCACTAGTATAATATATGTTACAGTATTCATTAATAGTTGGCTATTAATATTGTAACGTATATTATGCTAGTGACACATATAGACCAAGCACGGCATTTAGCTTGTGTGATATGTGATGTGTCACAGGATCCACATATTATTGGCTAACTTATTTTTTGGCTAACACATATCAAGTGTTACTTAGGATCTTATTTTTTTCAAAAATTTGTGAAACAAAGTCTAGATTTAAAAATAATTTGAGATAAATATATTAATGTGGTATCGATCAACAACTCGAACCCTATCCTTTAGCCCCCAACAAAAAAAAAGGAACGAGGAGGCTGATGAACATTTGAATCACCCAAAGAACCATGAAAACTATAGGTCTATGCACTTTAAACCGGTAAGATAGTGGTCCGCAAGTTGAGTCTTTAGACGTCTCGAAATCTTCCAAGATCCAACATGATTACACTGTCTCTATCTCCATCGTGCTTGAACCCATCTCTCCCTATAAGATAGGCCAAACACTAAATGCATACATAAAGAGAAACGTGTCAATGATCTACTATGCCAAACATGACTTCATATGATAGACGTCATACTACTTACCATAGGTACGAATCCGGTTGAAAATTCTTTATATTGTTTAAAACTTTAAATTATTTGTTTGGAATCGTTTTTGAAGATTTGAGTCTTGGGTATTCACGGATATAAATCCAAATAAATCACATTTGCAAATCTTAGGCAACCTAATTCTTTAAAATTCTAGGAGATCCAATATTCCTCTGAAAACCTAATCGAACGTGATCTTCATCGCAAAAATAATATATACACACAAAATAAGGAGTAATATTTTGTTATTTTAATTTAAGCGTTACGCTTTGGGGTAAGGTACGTGGTCCTCACACGCCAGCTCAGAAATCTAGGAGACCAGTGACACTGTGACAGCCGAAACACACATCTCCTCCTCGTATATTTCCTGAAATACCCCTCAGCGAACTGTCGCGGGAACGTGAAGCATGTCAGAGATTATACATGAAACACGTGTCCTAGTGGTTGTGGAGATCCTTGCGTGTCTCACTCACATCCGATCAAGTTCTTGTATCATTCCCAAATTATTAAAAGTGAAGTATATAGTATGTTGCTCTACAACATTTCATTCAGAATCATAATATATTTACAATTCCACTAAAAACATTTCAAGCAAAAGAAACTTTCTTCTTTGTCACGGATTCTATTGATTACCAATCACTAGATAACTAATGTATAATGCATTATCCATGCATGTTTTATTGTTGAAGTAACTGTCGCATGCATTGAACAACAAATGGCTGAAACTGGTGTAGATTCCTAAACAGAATATTGTCCACTCACCATTACTCCACCATACATAAAACTACATGTGTTGTTCTTCTGTGAACCTGCTAAAAATTTGATTGAACTTAAGTATTTAGTTTTACAATCGTAATTCACCGTACATATTTTCGGTCACATGACACATCACCCTTTTTATTTTCACATTTATTCGTTCAACTTGACCTGTATTGATCACAAACTCGTCCAACTTGTTCTGTTAGATTGAAATCTTGATTGCATACATTATTAATGTGTAAACCTATGAGTATTATGCACAATATAATCTTTATTCTCCTTTAGATTTCTTTATATATTAGAAATTTTGGATAACAAGAACTAAACTTAAGCTCCTAAAAGTGTACCTGTGAGTATTATGCATAATTATCTTTGGTTCTGATTCAAAATAAATTTTAATTACGAGAAATAAGAATTATAATTTTTATATTCACAATATATTCAGAAGGTGCCTAGTGTTCTACTATTGTTTTTAAAATTTGATTTTTTTTTTTAATAATGTCTAAAGGCAATTATATGAACATTTTTTTAACGGATAATTAAAATTTGATCTCTAAGTGATAAATAAAACTATAAAAGTAACTATGCATATATAATTCTGTTCAAAAAGAATTCTGAACATTGCAAGATTATATTCTACCTTTTACTGTTTAAGATATTTTAGTCGTTTCCTTTTATAGTTTCGTGGTAGTGCTAAGAATTCAGGAAATAAGTTCCAAAAATGAAACTTTTCTATAAACAAATAAGCTATTTTGACGCATTTTCTAAGGGAAAAAGGTAGGTAAGATGGAAAAAAGGGAATGGAATCAAATCTAGCAAAATCGTTGACGTGTGAGGTTTTTGTAATCCAAACCTTGATACGAGAGAGGTGTCACATTCGCATTATTGTTGTTTTCTCTTTATCAAGCAAATGCTAATTACCTTTTTTTTCTTTTATTGATACTTACTTCTTTTTATAACCGCTAATTACTTTTCTTTTTCAAATTACAATATTGGAACGATGCGACACTAGACCAGACATTTTCATTCTTTTTTTTCTTCCTAAAAGTGATTTATTCGTTGCGGAACAAATCATAGGATATACCTTCACGTATTCGCAAGAGGACACTTGAATTTTTATACCAGTACTTAAAAATCTAATTTTATAACATAACGTTTAGCTATAATAAGAAAGCTGAATATTCGAATAAAAAAATTTGGAACATAGAAAAACAAATGACATTTGATAAAACGACGCCACTTCAGTTAATGGATCACAAAGGAAATAATAGTTGGGCTTAAAGAAAACAAAGCCCATCTGAGTACAACAGTCTTCTTCTTCTTCCCCAACGGGTTTGGTGCTTCACGACAAAAACAGAATGTGAAATGTCTAACAAAGGTGAAAATGTCTTTGGATGAGTATCTCAAAGACATCAAGAATCTGTGTGATGAGTTGTCTTCTTTAGGAAGCCCTGTGAGAGAAGAGATAAAAAATTCTCGCTGCTTTACATGGACTTGGTCGAGAGTATGACATAATCACAACAAGTATTGAGTTCTCTATGGACAGATCTGTTCCAAGCATTACGTTTGAAGATGTGGTGAGAAGACTCACTTGGTATGATGATAGACTCAAAATGTATTTGGCTGAAGAACAAGCAGCCACTCACTACTCAAACAACACTCCATCTCAAAGCTATTACAAGAATCATACCAGAGGAGGAGGCAGAGGCTACAAGAAGAGATTCGGAAATGGTGGTGTAGTGTGCCAAATCTGTGGCAAGATTGGTCACATTGCATTTAACTGTTGGCACAGATTCGACAACACCTTTCAGTAGAAAGAGGCAACAAGAGGTAGTGATCTTGGCAAGATTTGTGGTGCCATCAACACATTGTTATGAGTTTGATTGTTAACACCACTAGTATTCTTGCTAAGAAGGTTGAATATAAGAAGAGTAAAACAATGTAGATTTGTAGGAAATTTGATGGAGAAATAAATGAAAAACAAGAAGAATTATATTGAGTTTCATAAGGAGTGAAAAAAGGACCTAAAAGAAGTAAAGAGATATATGAATCTGTAATGAAGAAAAATAATCTCAACTTGAAAGGTCTTCTTCTTCTTCCCTTAACTCTTAAAATAATAAATTTTCTAAGAACGCTGCAGCAAATTTTAGTAACTGTTCTTGTGTTGTAGGTGTATTCAGAGGATAGCATCGTCGTTACCATCATCAATCAAGCTTTAACCACTCCTTCACTGCTTCTCTGGTTGTTGTTATTGTCTCCTCGTCTCTCGTTTCTGTTACCTCTCTTACGGCTGTTGACCACCACCGTGAAATCATCATCATCTCCGCCCTCAGCAGAAGCAGAGCCGTTCTGAGTCACACTTCCGTTTCCGTTTCCGGTTTTTCCACCAGAAGGTTTGCCTACAGTCTTGAACTCATCTCCGCCGTTAGCAGAAGCAGACCCATTCTGAGCAGCCCTGCGTCCTCCAGCTCCGTTTCTCCCACCGGATTGTCTGCTTCCATCATAGTCCACTGCAAACAAACAAAACAAACAGAGAAAGTTTCAGACTTGGACGCAAGAAAACGAACAACTTTTAGATGGTTTAAGAGAAAGAGAGAAGCTGAAACTTGCCTTGCTTCTCCTTTACACGAAGCTTATGGTCTCCAAGCCAGAAGGGATGGCTCTTGGCAGCCTTAAGCACGCTCTGGACAGAGGCAGTGGATTCAAAGGCAACAAACCCAAAGCAATATCCGGTTTCCTGAGAACAACAAGATAAGAAAAAGTTTTAGACTCGTTGAGCAGAGATAGCAAAATGACAAGACTTTTGGATCAAACATCATTATTACCTTTGAGCTTCTGACTTGGGCACCATGTTCTTTGATTGGACCAAAATCCTTGAACAGGTCATGGAGCTGAGGCGACACTGCATCCAATGGAAGATTCGCCACGAAGATTGAAGTGCCTGAAAACCAAAACAATACCAAATCTTGATATCCAAAACAGAACCAAGAAAAAAAAGTTAAAACTTCCATGGCCATATCTCTGTCTTCTAACCTGGCTCTTCAATGATCCTCTTGTTCTTGTAATCACTCCTCTTCTCAGATTTACTGAGAGCAGCAGCAGGTGCTTTAGGTGATGCAGCAGCAACTGCACGTGGCTGTGCAACGTGTTTAGGTGTCTGAACCTGAACAGACGCAGCTTTGACTTGGAAAGGAGCAGCGTTTTTCGCCATTGTTTGAACCTGTAAACACACTCATCACTAGTATCAATCCATCGATGTCTCCAAGTAAAAGCAAACAAATTTACATGAAACAAAACTCACCATTGCAGCATAAGACACCTTGGCTCCATCCACAGGCGCAGCAACAGCTTTCTCATCAGAGTGCTTGATATTTCCATTGGCCAATGAAGGAGCAGCAACCTTCTTGACTTGAGCAGCATTAACAGATCTCTCCACAGCTTTAGCTGGCTTCGCTATCTCAGTTTCTGCCACTATAATGATACAGTCCAACATAAGTCTCCTCAACATAAGATTTTACGATATGTATAAGTAAACACAAGGCTTGAGAACAACTTACCAGATTCAGCAGCTGGTAAAGTTACAGGAGCGGAGGCCTCCTCGGCAACATAGCGAAAGATGTCATTAAAGACACTGTAGGAATTCGGGTTCTCGTGACCAGCGTCATGTGCCAGATAGAACATCTGAGAGAACTTCCTCTTACTCTTGTCTTTGCCAGTCGAGAAACCAACCACCATTATAAAGATCCCATCTTTCACCGAGTTCTGAGAGTCAATACTCACGACCTCAAACGTAGTGCTCTCATAGCCACTGGAGACGAAGTGCTCGTTGATAGCCTGCACAAAGATGATAATCAATATGTGAGTCTCTCAATTGTAGAAAAATCAGCAAAGCATTAAACTTTAGGGACCAGTAAGATTTAATAATCTGATTCAAGAAGTTATGATTATGAAAGCCAACATAAACCCTAATCAACATTAAAGCCAAAACAACAATACAAGTAGAAACAGAGCATAAAAAGGCAAACTTTGGACCTAATGAACCTAAAAGAGGGATCTTTTTCAAACAATAGGAGTATGGAAGACAATAAAGAAGAAGACTTTGCTGAAAATTTACCTCAGCGGATTTAAAAGAGATCATAGAACCATCAGGTCCTGGTCTGGTGACAACACTAGCATCAGCATAAAGCCTACGAGCGTTCTCAGGGGATTGTTCAATAATTTTAAAGTATTGTTGAACAAAAGCATCAGAGACTTGGTTAGCCGTAGGAACAGCTTCCTCGGTAGCCATATCTGCACACTTTAACTGCTGAGATTTTGACAAAAAAAGGGCAAATTCAGATCATGCAGAACCAATTAGGATTCAAATCGGAAACCCTAGATTAAAAATCCCAAATCTAGATTTCGGATCAAGAAATCGATTTAGTAACCTGGCGGCAGAGAAAGATGGACCGAGGAGAGTCTCCGGTGGATTCGGGGAGAGAAAAAGGTTGAGACTTTGAGAGGTGTTGTTAATTAGGTTTAGGAGTCGAGATTTGGGAGAAGTGAGCGAGGAGGGCGAAGAAAGAGACGAGCTTTAATAGGGTTTTAGGGAGGTTCCTCGAAGAGATTCTGCTTTTTTGATTGAAGAGAAAAAAAAAGGAAGATGAATATTTATTCCTATTTCTTTAGAAAGGTTATGGCTTTTCCTTTCCTTCTTATAGGAACTCAAGTAAAATTTGGTTTTGCCGTCATAAGAAAAAAAAGGTAAATTTTGGTTGACTTTATAGGTTTGACTTTTACAGTCGGTGAAAAACTGAAAACTTAAAAAGTGGAAACAGCAAAAGAGAACAATCTAGAACTTTTGTACTTTTTACTTCAAGTGGTTTCTGTGCGTG